CACTGGGCCATTTGTTTACAGAAAATAAATATTTATTTGATTTAAAAAAATGATATTTAAATTAAATATAATTTTAAATTAAACAAATATTTATTCAAATTTCATGAATTTTTTTTCAGTGTAGATATTAATTGGACAGATACTATAAAAATTGTTTTACTTACTGGTCAAAAGTTCTGAGACAGCCACGCAATCTTGGATTCGTTTCGATCTCTCGTCCTAAATGCCACAAAGTAGCAAATCTACCGAAGGCCTCAATTCTCTTCTCAGGGTTTTCAGAGGTAAGTTCGGATCCTATTAGGTTCTCAACCGCATCACAAGAATTGTATAAAGCATGATGTAATTCATGCATAAGTTCTACGCAGCGCATTCTGAATTTATGGGCGGGAAGTTCGCCCAGATGATGCCACAAGGAATGTGCCAGTACCTTTGTATTAAAAATAATTTTGTTTAATATCTCATGTATTTTCAATCAAATATTGAATGCAGAAATACTACAGAACCTACCTGAAATACATTAGTATACTGCATCAAGTAAGTTATGTGCCATTGCTTCAATAGGGGAACGATAACAACCGTCGTCACACCCTCTCCACTTTTCGGATGTGTCTCGACATCGTTATGTGCTTTTAACAATGCAACTAAGTCCAATAACGTAGCAATGCTCGTTAACTGTAATGCGGGTTGCTTCTGCAACCAGCAAGAACAGACTATTAAAATTTTCAACCAATCCGGAAGAACGTGCTCGAATTTCGGTTCCTCTTCTACGAGTACGTCGTCGCCAGGCAAAAAGTATTTTGGAAATGTGGACAATTCGACGAACAAGCTGGACGCTATTTTCATGGTTTCAATCCATTCTGATTGAGTCGTCATATCAAGAAATAGATGAAAAATATCCAAGCATTTGGTATCTTCAGTTACGGATGAGTCTTGACTAAAGAATCCGGAATCATCTATGCTTAATCTCGAATTTAGCATAAATTCCAAGTAACGCATTCTCTCGTCGAAACTCTTTCTTGGAGAAGACACCACTAAATGATCGAACATATCCTGCACTGTTCTCTCTTTGCTAAGTATCCGATTGCTAATTAATTTAACGTAAAATATCTCGTATTGCCGGAGACACTTTTCTAACATGGAATGCTGTGCCTGAAACGCTGGAGATGGTCCCCTACATAAGGATCCTGTCGATCCCATTGGAGTAACATTTTTAAAATGTTTTAACATGGACAGACGACTGTCTGAAGATTGAATCACTGATGAAGAGATATCATCGATTTCGACGCAGTTTGCTTTAATATCATCCATACTTTTATTTCTAGGTAAAGATTTCGTATCTTCACTCACTACAACGGATATGCTACTGCCATCAGCCTGTATAGTGTATGTGTCGTTTAACTTGGAAGTGCTTTTACTTCCTTTTTTTTTCGATTTCTTTTCGCTTCTTTTAGTGGTACCGCCAGAATTGGCTCTTCTTCTTGTACTTGGGCTTTTCTCCGTGAAGGAAATATTGGATGTATCGGGCTTATTCAATTTACTATCTGATTGACTCTTCTCTAAAGGGATTGCCGTCAGAGAATTATCACTGGGGACTGTAATGCTATTCAGAGACGTGTCCAACTTGGCATCTATTTCACACTTATCCACATGAGTAGTTATCATTGTTGGTTGCACCTTCGATAAGATCTTGGCGCACAATTTGAGACTTTTCGAGATTTCTATTGGGGACAGAATATTATTGTGATGTAAAAGTTTGCTGATTATTTCGTAAAATAAGCCAGGAAGATGTTCAGATGGCGTGTCTATAAACGCGTCCAACGACACAGTTTCAAGTAAAAATTCTGTCAGCACGCATACTTCCACGAGATTCGGCATTCCACTACCAACTGGTCTTACAACAACGTCTTCGATCGCGACTTGCATTTTTGCTCTAGTATTACAGGCTTTCTCAAACAGATGCCCACAATGTATCCAGATGTAAGATGGTTCCAAAGTTGAGAATAACAGATTTGCAGACTTTACCACTTCATTTGCTTTCGGTGTGTGACTTGTTTGCATGAATTGTTTGCATGCATTATAAAATGTCCTAAAATGAATAACACAAGGTTATTAAAAAATATATTGATGAATAGTTTCAATTTTAACAGATTTTATTTTATAATTATATAGCACAGACGATCTTACCTAAATACTTCAAACAGAATATCATCTAAAATTATTGGTCCAATATCCACCTTATCAAGTAATGAGACAAGTATCCTATATGGCTTTAGATCTTGCGAATTTTCTTCACATACTTCTTTAAGTAGATATTTTATTGCTTCAACTAACATTTCCTTAGAATACATATCAAAGTATGTTACACTTTCTTTAGTGTCTGCAATCGCATGATTCTTCTTCTTTAAAATTGATGTGCTTACTTCAGTGCCCAACAGCCAAGCAAACAAACGTCTACAATTACACGATAAAAAAATATATAAAATAAAATAAGAATGTTACATATTGCAGCTTCCTTTACCTGTTTAAGCTCATATCCCTTCGCAATATAGTAACTAAAGCAGCTTTTATTAACAGTATCATATCTAGATGTGTCAATTGATTATTATGCATAGGAAAACCTATCAACAGAAAATCCAGTGCACTTCTTTGCACTAGCACTGAAGTGTCTTGTACTCCAGCACACAAGGCTGAAATCTTTTTAAATCGATACGTTAGAGAACAAAATCTTAAGATAAATTTATAGCGTTAAAATTCTTCTTACCATAATTTTAATATTAGTACCCATAATATATTTTTGCTCTTCCATCGACAGTTTTTTATTGAAATGTGCTAGCACAAATGATATCGCAGGCAATCGAATGCCAGAATTTGAAGCCAAGCAGTCCCAGAGGCACGCATAAAAATGTTCTGCACCCACACCCTCACACACTTTTTCCAGTAAGGAATTAGTTCTAATATGAAAAAATGCTCCATAAATTTCTATATTACTTATGCACATATCTATTTATGAATTATTATTTATGAATATACACAAGGAATGCTACAAAAATAACGTAGTACCTGTCAAAATGATCAGATCCATCTTCTAGGCCCAAGAGAACACCGCTTAAAAAACCACTTAATCCTGGTCTTAATCTTTCGCCAAGTGGTACAAAGTGTGTTTCGTATACTGTTAACAATGATGGTCTGACATTCATAGCAGCATGGCCCAACAATGGAAATAGTCCTAAATAAGAATAAATATAAAGAATGTGTCAAAGTAGTCTATAATTATTTCTTTCATTCAACACGTATACTCACCTGCACTATAGATAAACAGCTCATGACTAAGCCTATTAGTACCCATACACTTAAAAATAATATCATATGTCTCTAAAGCTTTCAAGTGAACACCAGAAGGTAATGCCGGATGCATACATTGGGCTAATCTCTTCGATATTTTGATTCTCCTTGGAATAACAGGAAACTTCATATGGCTCAATAACACCTTATTGAGCTTTCCTAGGGCAGAGATTAAATCTGCCCATTCACTCGTGTACTCGAAACTCTTCAGGGCCTTGTCGACAGCAGATACATAGCTATGTGATAAATACAACTTATAGCATCAAGTTTCTTAAGAGACAATGTACAAACATCAAGCTATGAAATGTAAATTACTATAACGTTGTGTGATGTTTATCGAATTACACTGTGTCAGTGATGCTAAATGTGCTAATCTTCAACTTACACCCGATACTTGGAGTCCTTCATCAACTCGTACTCCTCCAGAGCGATGGAACCCATGGTTGCGTTTTTTTCGTGACTAAAGAAATTACACTGCGACGATGTTTTTCCACCACACTTTACATGATTTTAGATCTATCTTACAGCAAAATGAATCACGGCGAAAATCCTAATTAAGCTGCAGATTTTATCGTGCGGCACATCGTATTCAGATAAAGCGGGTACCGTGGTACCTAGAAATCAATTCTTCGTGTTACCACACAAGTCCGTCTCGCGTGTCCCGTCCGCGCGAGCCCCAACTATCCTATCCCGCTCCGAGAAACAAAAATTTACCCTCTCGCTCTCTCACCGGACGAGCGACCATCCGCAGAGCCCGACTGAGCCGCAATGCCCACAATCGTTCATGATCATGTCTACGAGGCTGTGTTTATACGAGCCGAACCTATCGTCGGCCCGTTATCAACTTGGTTATCTCGTTGCGCGATCGTCGATTCCCTGCCGTCTCTCTCCTTCTACTGGAATTCAGTGGCGATTCACCATCAACCGGGCTCGAAGATTCGCGTCTCACAATTTCCTCGCAAAGAATTTTCTTATGTCTCGATCTCAAACATGTAACGGTCAATCATCAATAACCTCCAGCTGTCCTGAGCTGTCCTCCAGCTGTCTTCGGCGAGATCGTACGTGTGGTGGCGTGTGGCGCGACGCGCGCTTCCAATAGTTCCGATCGGATTATTCTGATTCCCCTTCCTTGGTTTTTCACGGGATCGAAGACTGACGAACAACTCACCTCTTTATGTTGACGTTGTGCACGTGACGATCGAATTGACATGAATCATACGTTTATCTGATATGCGTTGGTCCGTCCGTAGATGGAATGAATCTTTCTGACGAACTCGAATGATTGAGGATCATCTCAATCGAGTGAAATCGGCGATTAATTTAACCGTTGGAATGTCTAAAAGTAAAATTTCGAATTGTATATTTTGTTGTGTCTGATCTTTTTTTCCATATATTATAATAAAAAATGAATAATTTTGTTAACAAAATAGTATAGGTATTTTCTGATAAGTTAACTGAAGTTTGATCGAAATTATTTGATCAATTTTTTTATTCATCATGGTTATATTCCTTTTCTAACTTAATAATTCAATTTCTTTCATAATGACATGGGATTTTAGACACAATTTTGCATCATATAAATGCAGTTTCTGAAATCATGAAATGAGTAAAGGCACTCTTTATGTATTTAATTGGTAGATATAGAATGTTTGAGTCAGTATTGTCAAATTCAAACATAAACGAATTCCTTTTTTTATTATGAAACATCTTAAAATCCACGATCCATGCCATTTTCTTTGCAATTGTGCATGAATAACAAAAGGAAAAAATATAACAAGTCGAAGCATCGCACTAAAATCTCTCTTGTTTCCTACACAGCCTCCGAGATTTTAGCTTTTAATAAAATTCATAAAGATTATACTCATAAATGTAACAAACTTTGTCAAGTGATAGGTTCCGCCTGGTATTATACATCGACTTATTATAAACTTACAAAATGATTATCCGCTCATACAGAAATTCAGACGCATCACATTCGAGATTGTACAAAATTCATATGGAATGTTTACAAATACTATTTTTTCGGAAAGATAATCATATCGATGCTGTTTACACATTATTTTTCTGTTTACATTTACAAAGTATTAAAAGAAATAATATGAAATTAATGTTTAAATACTGAAAAATGTCCATGAATACATTTGCACATAAATATAACAAAACAGTCAATCTTCTAATACAATGCATTAACATAATACTCTATATTCATGCAATTTTATCACTTTGTTTCAAGTAAATGTATTGCATTTTCTCTCATGATTAACTCTCTAGTGCCCTTTTGGAAGATTAAAAATATTTAATATACAAATAATATAGGAAATAAAATATAACGAATCTGCATTTTTTGAAGATGCAACATTTAAAGAAGAAATTTCCGCGTCATATTTTTAAATTTGCATGACTGATACGCAATAATAAAAAAGCAAGAAGATAAAATTGACACGTGATATTGAAAGTATCGAGTAATAAAAGGTTATATGAACATGCCAATTTCTATATTAAAAATATCCGGCATGTATCCCATTAAAATGTACATTATTGTGTATTTTGATATTAATTCCCACGCATTTGTGATCTCGCATCAGGAACACAGTTTTGCACCCAAGGGTTGCGGTTTTGCAGTACGTTCCAGCCTTTTCTGCTGCTGTTCCATTAATCGCTGCTCCCGCTCTCTCCTTCTTTGTTCTCGCAGCACTTTGGTAGGATCATTGAAGTCGTCCACTTCCCAACCAGCGGAGTTTTCTTCCCATTCTCCTAATTCATTCTGAACACAGATGACAGGAATGTAAATCTCTGGAATCTTACAAGTTTGCAAGTATAGACTTACAGTCGGAACAGGATCCATGGCCGTGAATTTTGCAATGTTACGAGACGAGCCATCTGCATGCTTATCTTTTATTAGAATTTTTGCCTGTCTAGTGATTTTCGGAGTCATATCCTATACAAAATGCAAAGGTAAAATTTTTACTATTCTTATTAAAGTGATTGTCAGAATTAGCCTGAATTACCTCAAAAAAGTTAAGTTGTTCTTCAGTGGGCGATTCAGGAGGCTTAATTACTTGTTGTCGATATTGCTCTATCTTAGCTTGTATGGTATTAACTGGCTTATCTGGTATAACAACAATTGGATTTTCTTCCCACTTATCCCATTGCTCCAATTCCTTAAATAAGCATACTTAATAAATATTATTATAAAACCTTGACACAAAAGCAATTATATCTTCCGTTTTAGACCCGAATGCACTGATGTTACTTTGATTTTAAGAAAGAGGCTTAAAACTCTCTTTCTCTTTTTCAACTTTAAAATAAGACAAAGAAAGGTTTAAATCTTAAAGTCAAAGTAATGTTGATGCACGAGACCTTAATATAATCCATACCTTAGTATAATTCATATAATAAAGACTATATAGATCTGTTTTATATTCTTACATTAAACTCTTTCGCTAAATATTAAATATATACCTATCTTGCTTTAAATTTCAAAAGTGTACAACCATAAAAGATAGACCCAAAGATAATTTGATGATACAAAGATTGTACATTTTTTAGCTTGCTTCGATATCTTAAGGTACAGTATTTTTTATCAAAACAAGAACATATTTATAAAACTGCATAAAAAATAAATTTATTGTATACATAGGAGATACTTATTGTATAAATGAGAAGTATGTACCGTCGAGCTAGTAAGAACATTCGGCACCACGCCGACAGTGGACAAGGGGACAGAGTCGCAGGATGATCGTCTTCGACGTCGGAGGCAGCACATCGCGCGCTTAAATATCCCGAAGAGCAATACGAACAAGGCCTTAAGCCGATTCATCAAAAACTCCACAGCCATTTTCGGCACGGTCGGCTTGGACGGAGAGCTAACCTCTCCTCCGGAGCCGGAAGACGGACGTTTACGTGGTCTACCTGGCGCGGACGCAGCATTGGCGATCCATCTTGTAAGACAAGTCGTCGATTCTCCCTTACATCGTCTTGCGTCCTTCTTACACGAAATATGAAATTAATAGTAAATCGGGAAATACTCAAGTCTACTTGATACGTACATAACCTACATCCCTCTCCGGATGATTATGACGTTCCGCTATTGGTCGGCAGATCGATTACTCGATATTACGATCCTTCGATAATTGCATTCCATTATTCACTGTGCACTGCAATTATTGAAAATCTATAGTTCACGGGACGTATACTGTAAATTTTTAGTACTTGCAATAAATTGAATAAATAATAGAACGCAGCTAATGTCAAACGACATGGTCGAGATAAATAATTTAAAGAAAATAGATACAAGTATGTTGCGTTTTATATAGGTGATTCCTATAGAATCATACATCATACAAATAAAATAAATTTTTTCCTTCTTGAAAGTTTAGACTGAAGACAGAAATTATAATATTCCTTTCTTTTTTCATACATTTTTGTGATAACTAATTGATCATTTAATGTTCTTCGATTAATAGGCTTTGTTACACGGTTGCTTTATGTCTTAAATTTGTTGCGCATTCACACAGCTTATAAATATATCTTAGTTTAATTGTGTTAGAATAAGTGATTATTAGTTTGTAATAACCTAGTAAAAAATACAATATTTTATATATATATATGTGTGTGTGTGTGTGTGTGTGTGTGTGTGTGTGTGTGTGTGTGTGTGTGTGTGTGTGTGTGTACATATTCTGTAAATATAATTATAATATAATTATATATGAAACATTTTTCCGGGAATTTTATTATATATATATTTTTATTTTATTA